GTCGTCACGGACGGCTTCTTTAACGGGGGGGGGGGGGGGGGGGAGTAGAAAGTTTGGGGGAGCATAATCGTCCTTCACGAGCTAGTGACAGTGTTTTAAAGCAAAATATTTTCGGTCGCAACGTTGGTAGTGTCGAATTCACAAATTATGAATTACTGAAAAATAGAAAGTAAACAACTAAATAGCGGGTCAGCTCGTTTTTATTGGATCTTATTGCGTTAGCTGGGAATCTATTCCGGACCGTCTGTTTTGAAGGCAACCATGCTGACCTTTACACCACCGACATTCAATATGAGAGATAACTTCTAATGCGTAAATTTGGAACTACAGCCTTCTAATTATTTGTTTGATCACCAAAATAAATGCAATAATGGGATTTGGGAAATTACATATTTTAGCAACATAATCTTTTATTAAAAAGAGAAAGTTTGTTTTAATTCTTGTAAAAAAAATTGACGATCATTGCTGATGAGGTGCAAACGCTATTGAAAGCGTATCGTTTAATTTTAAACAATAACAATGTAAAAAGAAACAAGCTTTTTGTTTTCTTATATTGTCAATGTGTTTATTAATTTTGGACATAAAATACTCTTAATACTAAATTAAACAACAAAAATGTTTTTTAATAAAAAAATACTTAAACTTTATACAAGCATTGTATTTTCCGAAGTATTAATTAAATATTACCAAGAATAATTTTCATTTTCCCTTTAACAATGTTATTTTATAATATGGGAGATAATTACCTGCTCTTAGTTAGACAATCTATGAAATTTTTTGTTGTGCTGTCAGGAAAATATCGCCTACACCAGGGGTCCGCAACCTGAGGTTCGCGAGCCGCAGGCGGCCTTTTGATGTCAAGGTTGCGGCTCTCGAGTTCAATGCACACATATTAATAATTATACTATTTCATGTTCAAATCTCATAAAAAATATTATACCTTAAAGAAAAACAACTTTATACAGGATTAAAACACTCATCAGAGAACAGTGAGAAAAGGTAAGGTAGAAAGTATACGACAGCCGCTTGGGCACCAGGCCCAGCCCCACAGCTATGCTGTAGCTAGCACCGTGGCGACTATTCGATTTTTGTCACTGTCGAAGTGCCGACGTTTTCGAATATCGTTAAATGGGGAATGTTATTTTATAGAGAATGAATTCCTCTACCTGTGAGTATGCATTAATTTGACCCGAGTGACGTAGTATTTTAGTTATTAGTTTCATACAGTTGAGCCAGGTACTGGACTCTGGGTTGAGTAGGGTGAAAGATAAGCCTTGTGAGAACCAAAGACAGAAGCGACCGATACAGTAATCAAACTGTTAGAGTTTGCCATGTTAACGCCTGCCTGGCTATGAAAGATACCTACTGAACCAGCGGTGTCCGTAAAGAAAGAAAAATTAGTTTTTGGCTAGTCATATAGTTATATTATGTGATTACTGCTTTTATCATAGCAGATCTAGCTAAAACAGTTTTTGTGCGAAACATTTGTTTGTTTTTATATGAAACAATAAGTTCATATTTAACGCTATTTATCTCAAATCAAAAATCAAATTTATTTACCTAATCCATATATGAAATACCAAAATATTGAAAAAAAATAATGTTAGTGGCTCTTTAAAAACTGGGAAATTTTGTAAATTGTAACTTTTGGCTCTTTCGTCTCAAAAGGTTGCCGACCCCTGGCCTACACACAAGACAATTTACCCCGCTTAGATTGTTACATCATAAGGGTTAGATGGGGGTGATGTCTTATGTTCTCGTTCGCAGATATTTTAAGAAATCATTTACGTCCCTATCATAAATTATTATAATTTTATTGTCTATATTTTTACTTTCATTTTGTAACGAACCCCGGATCATTTACGAGTATATGTTACGTACGTTTTTTAAATAAAACGAGCCGTCCCGCGGCATATCATACGCCGCTATTTAGTTGTTTTTTCTACTTTTCAGTTATTCATAATTTGTGAATTCGACACCACCAACGCTGCCACTGAAAATATTTCTTTAAAACACTATAAGTAGCTCGTTAAGGACGATAACCCCCCTCCCCCCCCCCCCCCTCCGTTAAAGTAAACTAAATTATATGCCCTTAATAGTCGTCACTAAACCCGGGTCTGTTTGTAAACATTTAGAGTGAACCACAGCTCACCAGACCATTTAGGGGTGGGGGTGGTAGGGAGCGGGTTTACAGCTTGTTTTCTAGAGTCTCCCAGAAGAGAATTATATATATAGATTTTTCGGTTTCCCTATCAAAATATTGTTGATTTAAATTTTAATACTAAGTACAAAAATCTACATTAGTTTTTTTTATTTCAGTGCCTTATTTTATTCAAGTCGCATGTTTACTTTTTTAAATGATTGTTATGATAGACCTATTATATTTTAAAAGCTTTAATGTGGTCAGTACTAGTTTCCATATCGTGAGTCAGGTACCCATAAGAGCTGGTTGGACTCAGGGGCTTTCCAGTGACTTGTGACACCAAACAGGTCAATCTTCAAATCAATCACCGTCGATTCAACCACTGTCCGATTGGAATTTTAAATAAATCTAAGTTGGTACGTGCATCGGCGTCGGTGGTGTAAAGGTCAGCATGGTTGCCTTCCAAGCAGTCGATGCGGGTTCGATAATAAAATGTTTGATTACAAATAAATGCTATAATGGGAAATGGGAAATTACATATTTTAGCGTCATAAGCTTTTATTTAAAGGATAAAATTTGTTTTAATTTCCTATTTTCATAACATGTACAAACAGTGTCTCTTCCAGACTTTTTTCTCAGGGGGGGGGGGGGGGGGGAGTGGGTACTTGAGATTTTCGGGGGGGGGGTGGGGCGGGGGCGGTAGACTTTCTTCGGGGGAGGAGGGTGGCGGCAAAAATGCCTGGAAGAAACTCTATGTACAAGGTTTGTTATAATAACGGAGTTTATATTTGTTGAAAACGCGATTGTTTTTGTGGCTGTTGACTTGTAGTTAATTTTTTTTTTTTTTTTTTTTTTTTTTTTTTTTTAACATTTAGAACAAATTTTAATGCAGTTATATTCCACTTTAGATGATTCCAATATTATTGGCAACATCTAAGGCATCATAATCTGGAGCCAAGTGCACATAGGCTTTCTTTTCACAATCAGGCCTAATTAATGTATTAACCTTTGATACTTCAATATCGTACAGTTTCTTGACAGCCATCTTTATCATGGGCTTGTTAGCACGCTTGTCGACAATAAATACAAGAGTATTGTTGTCTTCAATTTTTTTTCATGGCAGACTCAGTGGTCAGAGGGTACTTAATCAATGCATACTGATCAAGTTTGTTACTCTTGTTCACACTCTTGCGTGGTTAAAAAATAAATTATCAGCTCTTTATCTAACATTCTGGCAATCACCAGCGAAGGCGTATTGTGTTTATTAATAAGAATAAAAACGCAATAAAACAACGGGTTTTCGTTTTCGTGTTTAGTCACCTTGTTTATTGAATTCAATTACAAAATACTCCGATTACTATATCAAACAACCAAACATTGTTTTTGTTAATAAAGTTAACACTTATAAACATTATATAAGCATTGTACTTACCGAAGTATTAATTAAGATATTAACGAGAATACGTTTCTAGTTTCCCTTTAACAAAGTTATATTTCAATATGGGAGATAATTGACTGCACTTAGGCAATCATTGAAATTATTCGTTGTGTTGTACGGAAAATATCCCCTATACTAAAGACAATTTACCTACCTCACATTGTTACATCATATGGGTTAGATGGGGGAGAAATCATTTACGTCCCTATCAGAAATTATTATAATTCTATTGTCTATATGTTTATGTTCATTTTGTAACAAAGACGGCTTATTTACGATTATATGTTACGTATGGTTTTTAATACACTTTTAATTATCAGGTATTTAATGTTATAAATAATTTTAGTCGACTTACGAATGTACAGAGAAAGATAAAGTTATCTTTGTATTCATTCTTATAGGGATTATTCGATATTTTAACAATTTTGACATAATACCCGGAACAATTATGTTTTATCCAATAATTTGTCAAATTTTAGTCTAGTCTAATTTTATCAAAAGTGTTAGACTGGAATTCTGAGAGGAATTCTGAGAGGAAGAGGACAGTAGACAGGACAAGGAAACCCTGGGGAAGGACAATAGAAGAGGCAAGGGTTGCCGGGCTTATAAAGAGGGCTGCTGAAAATAGAGTTCGGTGGAGACGTGTGACGTCATATGGACGTAATATTACTCAATCACAGACATCAACTGATCCGAACGTTCTAGAATTTATCTTAAGCCTTTACATGAAAGCGTCGGTGGTGTAAAGGTTAAATTTTACAAAACCTTCTAATCAAAAGCGAGTTAACAGCTGAGTAGCAAGTTCCAAAAAATATTTTTTAAATAAAAAGTGGTCTTCACTTCCTGGACCCCACTCTACCCTTTAGCTCTGATCAATGGCAACACTTCATCACCTTATCCCCCTCCCCCCAATCCTCCCCCCACCCCATCCCCATTGTGATGTGGTTTATGTATGACCTTACACAGGTCAATATTCAGATCCCTCAAATACATTGTTTTGTGGCAATAGTAGGCTTCTAGAAAATTGAAATTCCCAGTGGAAGTTTCTCCCCCCCCCCCCCCTAGGACTGTTATTATAAATGGCTCAATATTCAAATCAATCATTGTCAAATTAATCACTATCCGATTTGAATTTGAATGAAATTGATCGCTATGTATCGGCGTCGGTGGTGTAAAGGTCAGCATGGTTGCCTTCCAAGCAGTCGATCCGGGTTCGATTCCCGGCTGACGCATAGTATTTTTTAAATTTATTTTCTACCTCCCTATCCCCCACTACTGTGATGTGGTTTTTGGGTGACCCCAAACAGGTCAATAGTTTATATATATATATATATATATATATATATATATATATATATATATATATATATATATATATATATATATATATATATATATATATATATATTTTTTTTTTTTTCCATACAAGTATGTTTATTTGTTCTTGTGACATTAAAAATTTTACCTTAACATTTTTCAAATCTTAAAACAGTCATTAATTTTAAAGATGAAGAACCATACATGGCAGTGGAAACTAAAAAAATTTACAACAGTTTAAAATAATTGAAGATCCTAAGTGAATATTTAAATTAATGAAGAAAAGGTCAATATGATGAACGCACATAGATTTGTAAGCTGCCCATTAACATTATGTAGCTAGTCCAAATCGTTCTGCCCTCTTTTTCTTCTTGGCCTCTATGTCTGAATCTGTTGAAGTGACGGTACTAACTTTCAGACTAGAAGTAGTAGAAGGTGTAGCAGAAGCAGCAGTTGGAGTTCCAAATCTTTCAGCTCTTTTTCTTTTTCTTTCTTCTTCATCAGCCTTGGTTAATGATGAGGACACCACTGCACCAAACCTATCTGCTCTTTTTTTAAAACATCAATGTCCTCTCCAGTTGGGCTGGCTAGAGCTGCTGTAGGAGATTTGTTGGCACTTGCAGGTAAACCAAACCTTTGAGCCCTCAACTCTTTTTTTGCCTCTAAAGATTCTGCACCAAACTTTTTCGCTCTGAGTTTCAGTCTCTCTTCTTCTGAAAGTTTAGCCATTTCTGCTGGTTTAGCTGTCTGTGTAGTATCTGGTGTATTTTGTTTTGTTGTATCTGCCAAGTTCTTAACACTATTTGATGCAGTTACTTCTACTTTCTGTGGAGTGACTGCTGGTTGGGGATCAGGCTTATCCTCAGGTTTTGTTGCCAGTGTGATGCTGTCATCATTTAATATGTTATCAATGCTATGAATACTATCATCAAGTCCACCTTCTGATCCTTCAACTACTGCACCCAACGCTTCTTCAAGACGTTTGAGAAGCTCTGCTTTTGTACCAGTTATGGACAATCCTCTTTCTTTCAACACTTGTTTGAGTTCAGGAACTTTCATTTTTGTTGTAATCTTCCATGGTTTGGTCGGATATTTTAATAGATAAAAATGCAATAAAACAACGCGTTTTTACTTTTGTATGTAGTCACCTTGTTTATTGATTTAAAAAATATAATGCTTCAATTACTAAATCAAACAACCAAACATTGTTTTTGTTAATACAATAAACATTTATAAACATTATATAAGCATTGTACTTACCGAAGTATTAATTAAAATATTATTAACGAGAAAAGGTTTCTAGTTTCCCTTAAACAAGGTTATATTTCAATATGGGAAATAATTGACTGCTCTTAGTTAGGCAATCATTGAAATTATTCGTTGTGTTGTCAGGAATATATCCCCTATACTAAAGACAGTTTACCTAGCTCAGGTTGTTACATCAGAAGGGTTAGATGGGGGAGAAATCATTTACGTCCCTATCAGAAATTATTAAAATTTTATTGCCTATATGTTTATATTCATTTTGTAACAAAGACGGCTTATTTACGATTATATGTTTGTCAAATTATTTACTATACGATTTGAATTTCAATGGTATTGAGCTACCGTCGGAGGTGGTGTAAAGGTCAGCATGGTTACCTTCCAAGCAGTCGATCCTGGTTCGATTCTCGGCTGACGCAAGGCTCATTTTTACTTTGTTTTTCCTTTTTTTTTTTACTTTTACAAAAGTCGTTAATAGCTTATTTTTATTTTAAATTTTAATGATTCTAGGAAATATAATAACATCAACATGCCAGTTATCATAAAGACTGAAAGTCCCAAAGTTACCCCCCCCCCCCTACAAACTCAAAACTTTCATAAAATGACGTCATACCTATGCTAACCACTCCTTGCCCCCCTCCCCCCCCCCCCCCAACCATATTTTTAAAATCGCAGCATTTCTTTTCTTAATATATCGATTTCTTTCTGAAATATTTGCTGAGCTGTTTCAACACTGAGCATATCAATAGGTTACACAATTCTATTACAGTTTACAAAAATAGTCTTTCAAAACGTGAAATAAATGCTGTGATTCAGTTTGAAACATTAATTTCTACATCGCAAAAGTGGTCCTGACTCCCTGAACCCCCTCCCACCTCTACCCCTGATCAGTGATCCACCCCCACCCCATCACATTATTATTGTTTTTACGTCTGGTAGTGTCAATGGTCGGTTCATTTTTGGAACTATACATTTTCAATGAACGTTTTATTTTACGAGATTCTATTCTATTATAAAAAGTTTAAGTAATTAAAAATGGTATTTAAAAATATTGTCCCGAGTTGCCATACCACGTAGTGTTATATTAAAATATTCGAGAAAGTTTAAGGGAGATCACTCCCGATTTATTTAAATACTGTTAGGTCAGAATTCCACAAACATCCATTCACTAGATAATTACAGGGCACACAGTAGGGATGGACAGTAGGTGACACGTTCAAAGGAGACTGACCGCTCTGACAGGACAATAGTAGTCTTTATACTGACCAGTAGCCAGGGTTGTTAGCGCCAGGGGGGATAATTTGTTAGGTCACAAGTTTTGAGCCCATTGTCTCATGGGAATAGCTAGGGGGTTAAGACAGGGGTATAAATACAGGCAGGTTAATTAGTCTCCCTCTCTCTCGCACAAGCGCTCCCGACGTTAGCGGTTAGGGGAAGCCTCGCTCAGCAGAACAGGCATTCAGCACATTAATAAACAGCACAAACTAAGAAGGTCTCCTGTTCCGTTGATTATTTTACTGTTGCTGACTCGGGTAGAATCATTGAATACCCCTAGACAACGTCGGCCTTATTGGCTAGTGCCCGAGCCAGTGTCAGCAACGTATTCGGCCGGTGACTAAGCAACCCGACGGCAACATTGTAGTCCGGTCTGCAACAAATACAATTTCAAAGACATGATCATAAATTAAATGCGTAGTGATTCTAATTAATATAATTACTAGACGAGCAATATTTTAAAATTGTTTTTTACCAGATAAAAAGCTTGGATTTAATACAAAAAGTTTACGATTGTTTAAGCTCTTATGGTGTTGGTTGGTTGTCATTTGAAACATTGTTGTTATTTTTCATTGTTGGTTGAACCAGAGACGTAGCGACCCCTCCCGGAGACAAACTTTCAATTTGGCGTCTCCCCCCCCTCCCCATTTATATTTTATATTTATAATTCAAAATAGCAGCTAAAATGAGCTTATTTTGGCGCCCCTATGGTCTGAGCTCCGGGACATATGTACCCCCCTCCTCCCCCGTCGTTACGCCTCTGGGTTGGACTAGTCCTCTTCATCTCTGAAGGCAAACGTTCCTTCGTTGTTTGAGTCTTTTCTACAATAAACTTTGGTGTGTGCTGGGTCGTTGTCTGAGTGCCAGCTTTTGAGGTGCGTTTTTAGCCGTTTCTTAGTGGTAAAGTCGGTGTCTGTAGCCTCACAATAAGTTTGAGCATGTTTGAGCATGTTTGTATCTTGTAAGTTTGTATATGCGACAGTTTAAGGCAGAGGCGTAGCGACCCTTCCCGGCGCCCGGGGACAAACTTTCCGATTTGCACCCCCCCCCCTCAAACTTTTGATTTGCACCCCCCTGAACCTTTCAATTTTTTTACAACCCATTTTGGCGCCCCCTAAGGTCGGCGCCCAGGGACATATCTCCCCCCCCCCCCCCTCGCTACGCTACTGGTTTAAGGCGTCGAAGTGTTCCTTAACCATAAGGTTTGCCCGTGGTACGAAGAACAAACAAAAGCAGAGTAGGCAATTGTTGAGTCGGTCTTCAGTCGGTGTTTTGGACGGGGTGGTGGCTGTCTGACTCGCTGTCTCCTACATTAACTTGAGCTGCTTTTGATGTTTTATCCGGTACTTGGCTGTCCTCTAACTTCCTTTTGGTTGTTGATGTCAGCAAGATTGTTTGTTGTTGTGAGATTTGAGGGTCGGATGTGTCTTTCTATGGTGTCGATATCTGTGTGATGACTGCATACATGCTTGTTACTGGCTGTTGTGCTGCGTCGCCATGTTGTGGCTGATTAATTTTTTTTGTTTTGTTTTGTTAGGTGAGAGTTGTTAGTCTATGTCTTAGCTTTGCTTGAAATATTCATTTTACCTCGATGTTAGTGCATTTTTACTTTCTCGTATATACAAAGTATAGAGAAAGTCTTGTAATCGTGCAAAAAACAAATCGAGATTTTTACAAATCTCGACGTTTTACACCTCACTGATACGGAAAAACATAATTTTGCAATCTTGTCCGTATGTCTGTGTGTCTGACTGTCTGTCTGTCTGTCTGTCCGTGTGTAAACACGATAACTTGAGTACCGTTACAGCTAGGTTGATGAAATTTCATATATAAGTATTTTATCAAAATCGTAGATCCGCATCAACTTTAGAGCGATTTCCGATAACCGGAAGTGGTACTTTTCCTACTTTGAATTTTTCAAAAGCCTATAACTTGAGTACTATTTCAGATAGATAAATGAAATTTCACAAGTAAGTAAAAGATCTAATTCTCTACCTTCTGTTAAATTTTGAGTAATTTCCGTTGACTGGAAGTAGTACTTTACGCTACTTCCGATTTCTCAAAAAACTAATGTAAATTTTAAAAGTACTAATAATATTGCGCACTATTATGCGCTTTTTTATTTGGCGTTCACTTGGTGTGCAATTAATTTGTCTAGGAGATTTTATTCTATTTTTAAAACTTTAAGTATTTAAAATGGATTAAAAATCATGTCTATAGCCCGAGTTCCCGTCCCCTGTTATTTTATATAAGAATAATCGAGAAAGTTTAGGGGAGATCACTCCCGGTTTATTTAAAATAAAATCTGAATTTATTCATATTTCCCCACATAGTCGATCTATAAATAGCCGTTTGCTACTAGTCTGTTTTCGTCTTCTGTTCTTTATCTAGTCGTGTTAATTAGAATAATTAAGTTAAGTGTGATTACTTTATTTCTTGTGGCTGTTTGCTTGGTGGTTTTTAATATTTTCTCAAGTGTTTGCTTTGCTTTCTGTACTAATGTACAAGCAAATGAATGTGTTTCTCAGTTTCTTGTATATTTTGTTTGACGTTTGACAAGTTATTTTAACATTTTGATTTGACTTTGTATTTCGTAACACTGGTGTTGTATTAAAAATCAGTCTGTACGCTAATTCCCTTTCTTTTGGTGTAAAGAGTTTATTATGTAGGTTTCTAATATATATATATATATATATATATATATATATATATATATATACATCTATATATATATATATATATATATATATATATATATATATATATATATATATATATATATATATTATATTGTGTTCGCTGGGCCAACTAATCCTGGTGTATAAGGTTGTCGCTTGTTGTTTGATTAGGATGTCGTATATTTTGTGTGTGTCTTCCCCAATAATGCTTTTGTTTCCTTGGAATGTTGCTGGCGTTTCTTTATAAAATGTCATGTAGCCCTATACCTCCATTTAATTAGTTTTGTATTAATGTTTTGTGGCTAATGTTTCTAATAGTGTTTTTGAAAATGAATGATCTAATTTGCTTGTTTGTTTGTTTAATAAACGAGTTGGGAATTGTAGTATATGTCGCTGCGAAAATTATTTTTGGAATGATGTATCTGTTTACTAATGCAGTTGTGGCAAAGATAGTTGTTTTGTAGTATTGGTATTTTTTCAGATTGAGAATTATTTTATTGTTAAGTGTGGCCCAAGTTTCTTGGTCGTCTTTTGTGGGATCGCTGTTATAGGTTATTCCATGAGTTTGTCTGTTATTGTGTTGTAATTATCTTTACCTTTCCATATTTTTCCTTTCCGTTTAATTGAGGATTTTATTTATTTATTTTTTTTTAAGACAAGTTACACATTTTTATTCAACTGAAAATCAGCAAGTTAAAAAAGTTTCAAAACATGGCTATTTTGAAAACTAAAGCACTGAAAACAAGATGAATTAAGTTTTTATAACAGGAAAATTGTTTAAATTGTCCTTATTTTTAGGTCAGTTGAATCAATAATGAAAATAAAAATATTGGCAAATCAGATTGAACTGTTAACACAATTTTTTCTTTTAATCAACTACGTTTTCATAGACTTGACATCAACAGCGAGTATACACATTCTAATTAGTTCATTTATTTAAAACCTAGTATCTTGAATAGAACTATTTATTCAGTGTAATTTTTTTTACCTGGATTCCTTCTCTCCCAAATAAGTCTATGTTTCTGTTTCATGTAGGCCTATAAAGCACCTTTCCCGCTTCTCATATCACTATATTTGATGAACCAGTTAACAGGCGCCTGGTTATAATCTTCATCAATCTGTTGACATTTGTATTTTTTATCAGGACCTTCCCACGCATAGCATTCAATCTTTCTTTGCCTCAGAATCCTGACAATATCGCTGTCAACCATCCTGTCTCTGTGGAACTGCTGGTCAGCTTCATAGATGCAAACTGGATCTTCTTCATCACACTGGTCCACTGTTGGGACCCTATTGAAATGCCTGTGATAATACTTGGTTTGGTTCCTGCTCTGAATAGGTAACACCACCTTCTCTCGTACATAAGTCACTGGCCCGTCGAAAACTTTAAATAAAGCCATTGCAACATTCTGAAACTTGAAATTTCCACTATTTTGGGGTGATGCTGAATGATGCTCTTCTTCTTCGTGCCCCATTTCTTGTTTATGTCCTTAATTGAGGATTTTAAAATAATCAGCAGAACAATCGAAGAGCTGTTAGCAATACAATTAAAGGCGTATCGTTTTTTTAAAGGATAATAATGTAATAAAACAACAGCTGTTTCGTTTTCGTATATAGTCACCTTGTTTATTAATGTTAAAAATAAAATACTCTATTTACTGAATTAAACAACCATCAATGTGTTTTGCTAATTGAAAAAAACATTAATAAACTTTGTATAAGCATTGTACTTCCCGAAGTATTAATTAATAAATTAATGAGAATACATTTCTATTTTTCCTTTAACAAAGTTGTCGTTTAATATGGGAGGTAATTAATTGCTCTTAGTAAGGCAATCATTGAAATAATTCGTTGTGTTGTCTCTAAAATATCGACACACTCAAGACAATTTACCCATCTTAGATTGTTACATCATAAGGGTTAGATGGGGAGATATCTTATGGTCACGTTCGCAGATATTTTGAGAAATCATTTACGTCTATATCGGAAATTATTATAATTTTATTGTCTATATTTTTATTTTTATTTTGTAACAAACCCCGGCTTATTTACGAGTATATGTTACGAACGGTTTTTTAATAGAGTTTTTCGGTTTCCCTATCAAAATATTGTTGATTTAAATTTTAATACCAAGTACACAAATCTACATTAGTTTATTATTTTAGTGCCTTATTTTATTCAAGTCGCATGTTTACTTTTTTAAATGATTGTTATGATAGACCTATTATATTTTAAAAGCTTTAATGTGGTCAGTACTAGTTTCCTTATCGTAAGTTAGGTACCCATCAGAGCTGGTTAGACTCAGGGGCTTTCCACTGACTTGTGACACCTAGCAGGTCAATCTTCAAATCAATCACCGTCGATTAAACCACTGTCCGATTGGAATTTTAAATAAATCTAAGTTGGTACGTGTATCGGCGTCGGTGGTGTAAAGGTCAGCATGGTTGCCTTCCAAGCAGTCGATCCGGGTTCGATTCCCGGCTGACGCATTCTATTTTTTATATTTTACTTTTTAAAAAAAAATCTATAATAGTTAATTTGAACTTTTAATGATCCTAGAATAATTAACTAATATCCGCATACCTCACTGTTGATACGTAGACCAAATGACCCAAAAAGCCACTCCCTACAATTCACATAAAATTAAGTCACATGTCACAGACATACACACCCGGCTTTAAAAGTGCCAGTTTTTTGTTTTCTTATTAATTATTTAATCGATTTATTTCTGAAATATTGACGGTCTCAATGAGGTGTAAAACGATTTTTAGCCCTTTTTACAAGACGTCTTCTATACTTGAAACTGCGTATACGACAGGGTTAGGAATGTTCAATCCATTTGAAAACACATCTTTGATCTATGCAATTAAAAAATTGTGCGTTAGCCGGGAATCGAACCCGCATCGCCTGCTTAGAAGGCAAACATACTGTTTAACATTAGTCTGGACTAAGGTGAACATTGGACATGGTCTAAGATAAAAAATGGCAGGGTTTCTTTTTTCCCACCACAAATTCCTCAGTAACAGGGTGGGTGTGGGGGAGAGGGAGAGGGGGGGGTCAGTGTTTTAGTGGCACGCTGGAAGACAACTATTGTCATTGGCAGACGAAAAAAAAACGATGATTTTGACAGATAAGTGGTAAAAAGCTAAATAAAATCAGTCAAATATTTAAATAAATGATGTAAAATTAAAATTATCTGTAGGTTCAACAAAACGTTAATGTTTTCATGTATGTTAACCAACATTTTAAAATTCCCTTTATAGCATTTGGGAATCAACATTTTATAAAAAATCAATGCGTTAGCCGGAAATCGAAACCGGATCGACTGCTTTGAAGGCAACCATGTTGACTTTTATACCACCGACATTCATTATGAGAGAAAATTTCTAATGCGTAAATTTTGGACTACAGATTTCTGATGATTTGTTTGATCACCAAAATAAATGCTGTAACGGGAAAAGGATAATGACATATTTGAGCAACCTAAGATTTTATTAAAAAGAGTAAGTTTGTTTATTTTTTATTTTCATTGCATACACAATTTTTGTTATTATAAAGGTTTTTATATTGGTTATTTATCTAGCAAGGTTAATAAACTGCATTGCGATTGCTTTGTTTTTTGACGCTGTTAGCTTAAAGATTTTTTTTGCTCTTTTCTATTTTACATTGTTATTTAACCACTTTTGAACGTTTTGTATTAGCCACATAATGGGAAAATATCAATGATAAAACAAAACTTGTATAAATATGTAACATATATGTTCATGTTAACTCAAAGATTGACAAAATATTAGCTGACTTGCTAATGCATTGTACACAATACTTAGATTTGCGCATCGTTTAGTTTTAAACAATAATAATGTAATAAAACAAGAGCGTTTTAGTTTTCTTATATAATCACCTTTTTTTTTAATGTTAGAAGTAAAATACTCTTTACACTAATTAAACAACAAAACGTTGTTTTTTGTTAATATAAAAGTACTTACACTAATAAATATTATATAAGCATTGTATTTTCTGAAGTATTAATTAAAGAATTAACAAAAATAATTTTTAGTTTCCCTTTAGTATTGTTACATTTTAACATGGGAGATAAAAAATTACTCGTAGTAAGACAATCATTGAAATTGATTGGCAAAGCTAAAACAATCAAACAAAAGTATGTGCATATGCAAAACATCTTATGCAAATAGTTTAATTTAAAAAACTGTGAGATTAAATATTGTAAGGTAGTGAATTCGAAGATGAGTTAGATTTTAAGTTAGAAGATTAATATTTTGTTCACAAATGTAGGGGAGGATATTAATACTGTCCCGAGTTACGTAATATTTCTGTGGCTGTTCCCCTTTGACTGTAAATTAAAGAATGTACTTCGAGAAGGAAAGAAATGTTCTTTTAGTTTAGTTACCTCAACAAAGGGGTTGAGCCAGTAAACAATTTTTAGCGCAATTTCCATTCTGGAGAATTGCGTTTATTAACGCGTCATTTCTGGGAATGGATGGATGAATGAATGAATGAATGTATGGATGAATGTGTGTCCGGGCTTTAAGTCGTATCTCCTCCTCAACGAAGCAATATCGATGACTAGTTCCAAAAGCAATTATGTTAAGCAAGTTACGAGAATGAGCATAGGCCATAAAAATTCCGGCTTTCTTTCATGTATTTCCCGGAAAAGCCAAAAAACCTCGAAAAAAATGCAGTTTTTGGCCCATATCTCGGCAACCAGACCACTTAGCGACTTGAAACATGTACCAATCGATTCCTGCCATAATTTAGAACAATATTGCCGAAGAAAGTTTTCAAAAATATCCTCTCGTTTGGTCACAAATTTTAAAATTACAAAAACACCTACAAACCGATCGTTCTTCTAGCTTGAACGCATCCCAGCATTATACGTCAGAGCTATTTTTAGATAACATAAGGAAATTGCGCATAAATGTCACTAGACTTTTTTAATTAACTTGTTTTTTCATATGTACCGAATATTGTGAAAATAATATTTTATAATAAGCAAGCTGGTAAAATTATATAATCACGTAAGCTTGATTTGTGCAAAGGTTTCTCGCGTTATGTTTATTTTTATGATTTTTCGTAATTGTATTATTAGTTTTGGATACATTCATTTTTATAGCTATAGGATTCTTTAGTATGCCTTATTTTTATAATAATTAAGAGAATAAATTGCTTTTGAATTACATAGTACAAAACTATTTAAATGAGCTTTATTGGCACCCCTATTTTAAAGAAGAGCATTAAGTCATGGAAGTAGTCTGAACGTTTGCCTATCTTTAAAGGTACAGCTCTTGCAGATTTTATATTTTTCTACGCAACAGGGTGTGTTAGTTACTGTAGAACAATCACTGCTATAGTCGACCTGTTTGTTTTTTACAAAACCAATATCAAGGTACACGAAAAACATTATTTATGAAAAGTAAACTCATTGTTATTTTGGTCGGAGTTAGGCCCCTAAACGTAAAGGCCCCCCCCCTCCCCCGCATTGCGGGGTCTGGCGGCACAGTAGTTCCGCCCCTGGTGTAAGGTGGGGTTATCTTTGTATCTAATTAGGATTATTCGATATTTTAACAATGTTTACATTATACACGGAACATACAATTATGGCTTTTTGCATTTTCCAAACACGAACAATCTAAACTACTAATAATCTCATACTGCTTGTGGTTTAAACTTCATTTGGGTGTCATTGGCTCCACAACAATTGTCAGTCTCAGCGTGTTGCTTTATGTTAAATCAAACTTTAGACCTGTATAATTTCAATAGTCGCCAAAGTGTGGGATCCCGAGGGGAAGAGGAAAGTAGGCAGGACAAGGAAATCATGGAGAAGGACAATAGAAGAGGCAAGGGTTGCCGCGCTTATAAAGAGGGCTGCCCAAAAGCGAGTTCGGTGGAGACGTGTGACGTCAAATGAAAGTAATATTAGTCATTCATTGTCATCAGCTGATCCGAATGGTCTAGAATTTATCTTCAACCATTTAAATGTGAACGTGTAAATATCAGTATAATTGCCTTCCAAGCAGTCGATCCGGGTTCGATTCCCGGCTGACGCACATTTTGTATTTGCCTAGATCAGGGGTCGGCAACCGTTTGAGACGGAAGAGCCAAAAGCTACTATTCACAAAATTACCCAGATTTTAAAGAGCCACAAACATTGTTATGTCAATAGTATAGTCAATAGTATAGTGTTTGTTAAAGATTATATATATATATATATATATATATATATATATATATATATATATATATATATATATATATGTAACGAGCGAACATTTATCCTGCCGACAACGCCAATTGTAACGAGCCAACAGTTACCATGCTCGCAACGCCACATGTAATGAGACCTAATTGCCTGTAGTGCCACGTGTTAACGAGTTTAACCACTCATTCTAGACAACATTGACCACAGTATAGATACTCAAGATGCAGGTTCGCTATTGATCCTTTATTACATGAATCAAGAAATGC